ACTCTCTCTCTCTCTCTCTCTCACACACAAACACACGCGCACGCGCACTTTTTACGTCGGCGGCTAGGCCGAGTGACAGGCCTCCCGAAAGAGCTGCAACGGGAGGGCGGCTGGCAAGTCGACCCCTCCGCTGCGAGCCACAAGAACGCGGGTCGCCCCGTCGGCGGCAGCCTGATCAGAGCGAGAAAGGAAGGACCTCAAGCTCTGCGCGAGGCGCCTAAGAAAGCCAAGAAGACAGTCGCGGTGGCCCGCGAGCCCGCGAGGAAGCAAGTCAAGCAGGCATTGCGTTAGCAATACTGGCTGCCGAGAGGTTTCAGGAACTGGGCCGCAGAGGCGATCGACTCGCGGAGGGCAGCGCTGCGAAACGCGCGAGAAGCCCCCGCGCCCCGCGCTGCACCGGCGAGGGCGACAGGAGCGATCACGGCGACCTTGAGAGGCCAGGGCGCTGCGAAGCGAGCAAGACGGGAAAGAAATCCCCGCGCCGCTCGAGCCCTCTCCACGACCGTTGGGGCGCAACGGGAGCGACCGCAATACTGCGCGCCCCGAATTCGCGGGCGCGCGGAAGATGCTGCGCGACAGCCCCGTCTCGGGCGGCGCATCGGGCCGCGAGGCGGGCCCGCCAATGGGCAGGGCCCGGCCCTGCAGCCCATGTCCAACAAGCATTCGGTCTGAGACTCACGCCCCAATGCGCGCAGAAATCTTCCAAGCAGGCAAAGGCAAGCGGAACTTGAGCCGCATCGCGGCACAGCCACTGCACATTATCAGCCCAACTCATTACTGAAGCTGAGATCGCGGGAGGTAACCATCAGGCGGAAGACAGGTGTCGCAAGGATACATGCCAACGCTGACAGGGCATCTCCCTAGAGGTGCCCCGCGGCGGCGCACCTGGGGCGGCCTCAGCCTCCACAAACATGGAAATGACAAACCGTGCCAGACAGGTGCACGCGCCAAACCTGCATGAAGCTCGCAGGGATGCCCACGCACACGCAAGCGCGCGACGACCTCACGAGAGAGGCGGTCGAAGAACGTAATGACACCAGCGGTGGCTCTGGCAATGCTGACGCCATCGGGCCAGGCAGCCTCAATCTCGAAAGCGCCTTCGAGATAGCAGCCCATGGGTCCCCGACCGTCGAGGCCACCCCTAATGCCGGCGGGCAGGAATGGCGCCGCGGCCCAGGCAAGGAGACGGCGAGCGACCCCGCTGGACCAAGCACGATGGACGACGCTCAGGACAGCTTTGGGCCGGAGATCGGCGGCAGTCCGAGCGGGCTCGCGCTTGGGGATCAGCGAGACAGAGCACTGGAGCAGCAGCTGGGGCCACTCGCGCGCACCGAGAAATGTCGCAAAAGAGCCAAGAAGAGCACCCACGCAGCCGTCCGGGAGCCTGGGCATCTCGCGCGGTCGCCAACCACACGCCGAGATAGCAGTCCGAGGGGCCACGCGCCGGCACGAATCGCGGAAATTGGAGACGCCGAGGGCGAGGTCCAAGCCCCCATAGGGAACGCAACTCGCCGCAATAAAATCCGCAGCCGCCGTCCAATCTTCAGCGCCGTTGCGGCGACAGTGGATTGGATACCAGTGGCCCCAGATTGCATCGTCATTTTGGGTCATCTCTGTCACCCAGCGGCCGTCGTCGCCCCGCAGCACGGCGGCTACAGGGGGCATGGTCGGGCGGGCGGCCTGCCGGCACAGGCGGGTGCTGTCTGCGGGGTCTGCGGCCAGAGCTGCCCGGCACTCTCGAGGCCGGCCAGCTTTGATCCGGCGCCAGAGCGCACCGAGGACCGATTGCGAAGCAAGAATCAAGGCCTCACGAAAATCAAAGGCATCCGCGTCGCGAGGGGAAAAACTCGGCCATGGGTTCCCAGGTGGGCGGGCGCCCCACCAAGCGTGGAAATACGCACCAAAACCACCCGCAAGCCTGATCGACTGCCAGACCTCCTGGCGGGCGGGGCTCGCCAGCAGCGGGGCGCCGTTGATCGCGCGCCTGCGGAGGCCCCGAGCAGAGGCAAGTCTGCGCAGCTGTCTCACCACCAAACGGGCCTGAACAATGCTCGGCAAATCACTGGCGAAAGCGTCGCGGCCAGGGCGCGCGCGCCGCTCGCACTGGCGCCGCCTCGCCACGCGCCTCGCACGGCCACGGCCGAGGTGGCGCCCGGCGAAGGAATCGCCTCCAAGGGCCTCGACCCAGCAAGACTCCGCGGCCACGCTCCAGCAACAGCGGCCACCTCCTCGTCGAAATCGGGCGCCCTCGGCTGGCGAGGGCAACGGCAACGCGATCGGCAGTCGCCGCCGCGGCGGGCGCGGGCGAAGCCGAGCCCAATCGAGACTCATAATGAGGGGCTCGTGGCCAACCCAATCCAAAACTCGGGCGGCGGACAGCGCCCACGCGGCCACAGGGTTGGCCCATTGCCGGCCGATCTTGGCGGCGGAGTCACGCTTCGCGCGAGCTGTCTCGGGCGAGGCCCCCGTCCGGGCGGCGACGGCAGCAGCCGCGCCCACCCTGCCCCGGGCCGGCGAGCGAGCGAGCAAGCAAAACTGTCCGCGGGCCCAACGTCGAAGTCGCCTGCGATCACACGCGGGCAACAATAGGTCTCGGCGGCCGCGAACGCGGCGTCGAGAAGCTTCTCCGCGTGATCTTCGCACTGTGGATCCCCATGCGCAGTCTGGGCGAAGCGGTCACATGGGGGGCGAAACTGATAGCGCGGGCCGCGAGCCGGCCGCGGGGCGCCATTCCAGAGGGGTGCTCAGGCGAAATGCTGACCAACGGGAGCTCGGGAGCAACCAGGCCCGCAAGGCTGAGCGAAACGCCCCGGCCTTGTTGGGGCGCGCGCCTATGGCCCGGATGGGCAATTGAAAGACGGCTCCGTCGTGATTACGAGACCGCCACGAGCGTTCACGAGCGACAGACAGAGCATCCAAGTTGGTTTCGGAGACCATGAAAATTTGGCTCTGGAAAGCGGCGAATCACCTAGCGCAGAGTTCAAGCCGCCAGGGTTGACGACAGCAATATCGAAAATGTCACCGCGAAGGGCATGGAACAACGACGCCCGCCTCGGACAGGCAAAACCAAGACACATGCACAGCCAGGACCCCGCTAAGGTGCAGGTAGCGGACCAGCCCCAGGGGGCGAAGCCGCCCGCCGCACCGTCAGCCAGCCAGCTGGGCCTTGGACGCGCGCTCGACCTTTTAGTGTTCAACTCCCCCATCTTCGTGGGCGCGTTTGTCTGAAACTCCCCGAAACTCTTCTGGAAAATGTCCTGGAAGTTTTCCATCGCTGATTCGATCGACGCCTGGCTCTCGAAGATCTTCTGATCGATCTTCTGATCTTGCGCCGCCGAGCGGGCAGTCTGGGCGCCCTGGGCGCCCGGACGTTTAGACAGCGCGTCGGGGCTAGTGGCAAGTGTGTCAAAACGTGCCTCCAGAAGCCCTGGGGCAGGAGAAGCAACAGGATTGCCGCCAGCGCTTGCCCTGGGACCATGGGCCCCCCCCATAAGCCCAAGGGTCAAGCCGCGGGCCCCCCGGCACAGGACGGCGCGCGCCGGCGCGGTCGCCCTTGCGGCCCCTGGGAAGCCAGGGGCGGACCGCGGCTCCGACGCCGACGAGCGCCACGACGACAGCCGTCTTCTCGGCCGACCACTCTGGCGGATCATCCAGGGCCTCAACTCGGAAGCATCTGGCGCCGCCTCGAAGCCAAGTTCCCTGCGGAAGGAACCCGACCTTGATTTTCCATCCGTCGCTATTGGAGTCTGGGCCGACCCAATTGCTCGCCGCTCGTTGGAGCCGTTGGCGGCTCGCGCCCGGCGCCCGGGTCGAGGCCCTCGGCCGCCCGCGAGCTGCGACCGGCGAATGAAACGTCAGCGGTCGCCGGAGCGCGAAGGCGAACGACAGCGTTGCGCGCCGCTTCAAAATTGGCAGCGGGGACACGGCACCCCAGGCCTTTGGGAGACCGCACCGCGCCGGCAAAACTCTTCAGGCGGGCCCGGTTAAATGCAAACTCAAGCCGGCCTGGACCGCCCGCCCCCCGCCCTACCCCAACGGGGAGGTCAGCGACACGGCGAGCCAGAAGCTTCCCGAAGGCAGTCAGCTCATGAATAAAAATGCCAATCTACCCGCTGGCGTCGGCAACGCTGCCGGCGCCCGCCGGGCGCGCGCGCGCGCGGAGCTTAGCGGCGGGGCCAGACTTCTGCTCGAAATCTGACTGGACAGGCAGCCGCCAGATCAAGAACACGATCCCGGGCTTCAAAACTGGCACACGCACTGAGCCGAAAATAATGAGGCCTGCGAGAAGCGGCCCCCCAAGTCTGAGGAGACATGCACGCCAGGTCACGCGCGACTTGCGAAACATGCGAGTTCTCTTCCTGCGTTGCGACGTGGCCTTGCCGGGCAACCCTCGCTTCAGCTGGGCGGTTGCAGAGCCGGAACAATGCGGCGCGCGGACGGAAGACATCAGCCGCGCCTTTTGTCTCAAGAAGAACGCGCCACTGCGCCCCCCCAGGCGCGTCGCCAACACACAAGATAAGCTAACGGATCGGGCGACGGGCCGCCGTTGGCCCGGGACTGGGCCAGCCACTGGCCCAGGCCTTCCCAGGCCCCCAGAAAGACCCCTGGCGCGCGGGGGGGGGCGCTGCAGCCTGAGTCAACTAGCTCGACCTTGGCGGCGTCAATAGAGGCGCCAGGAACAGGCCCACTGTCGCTGCCGCTATCTGCCGCCCGCTGATGACTCGCAGCAGGCAGCGAAACGCTAGCGGCATTTCTCGTCAGACGGCGCCGAGTGGCCTGGCGCCCCTTCGACTCGCCTGGAAGGATCAGGCGGCGATTGCGGTTCTTGGCCAACGTAAGTGAAGCAGATCCACAGATCGGCCGACTCGAGGGCCTTGGCCACGGCACCTTTGCCGAGGAGTCGAACGGTCTCCTCGGCACGCGCGGCGGCCTCGCCATTTGGCACGCCATCGGTGGCAAGAACCTCGCTGAGAGCGGCGCCGCCGCAAAGGGCGCGCGCATGAAAAAATTCCGCTCGACGGCGAGGGCGGCTGAATAGCCGCCGCAGAGACAGGCAAGCAACGAAAAGAGCACGAAGGAGAATGCGAGGCGGGCACGCAGCAGGCGCGGGGATCGACGATTGCCGAACCGACCCCGACCGATCAGATCGCAGAGGCCTTGATCACCTCAGGCTGCGACCCCTCGACGAACTGGCACGCGCGCCCCGCGGGGGCACCGCCCGCGGCGAAGCCAGCCGGATCCCAGAGCGCGGCACTTGGAAGAGCAACCTGGCATACAGCCTAGGGACTCTTCTCCTCCGCCTCCCAGACCACTCCCCTCCTCGGGCGCTGCCGCCGCTGCGCCGCTGCCGCCGCGGCTGCCGTGGTGGGCTGTGACACTCCTCTGCATCCTTTGCCTCCCCCGCCATGTCCGCGTCCTCATCCCGACGCTGCTCTCCGCCCCCTTCCCGATGATGTTGCCTCTCCTTCTCCTCCTGGCCCTCCTCGCGCTCCTCCTCTTCGCGCTGGGGGCTGCGCCGCGCCCGCGCCCTGGGCTGTTCCTCCACGCCCCCCGCCAGATGCTCGTCCTTCGCGCCCTGCTGCCGCGGGGGCTGGCGCTGCTGCTTGCCCCCTCCCTCCCCCGCGCCGTCGGGCAGCAGTTTCCGCCGCCGGGGCCGGCGCCGCTGCCGCGCCGCTCGAGGCGGCGCCCTCGCCCGGGGGCGCGCACGCCTGGACCCGGGGCAACTTGTTCGCCTGCCGCCACGCACGCTTGCGGCGCAAGCAGGCGACGGCGCTCTCATCGCCCGCCCCGATGGCCCCCCCCGCCTCGCGGTCCCACTGGGGCCCATGCTGCCAGCGCTGCACCGGGCGTCGAGCTCCTCCCAATATTGTCCAACCGGGACAGGGACTGGTTGTAGCCCTCCTCTTCGATCGAGCCACCCGCTCGGCGGCGGGGCGCCGCCTGTTCGCGCGGCCGCCCGGCAAACTTCGAACGCGCGTGCTGGAGACGCTCGACGAATTTACCGCGCTCGCGGCACCGCGCGCCCGGCTCGCCGCCGGCGCGGGCCCCCAAAGCACAGCCGTCTTCCTGGGGGGGCCCCCCGCTTGCTCCCCCATCCAGGTGCTGCAACTTCCCCCCGGAATGGCAACAGGTTGCGCGTCGCGACCACACGTCGACAAGCATGAATTGAAAGGTTCGCACCTGCGGCCCTGTCGGCGACGACCGCTGCGGGATCGCCCCCGCGTAGCGGGCGCATGCTGGCGCCTCGGTAATACTGCTTGGCAAGACCCGCAGAGCGGCGTTGCGGATTGAGCCGCGCTCTCCGCACTCCCAAGAAACATGGAAACAAATCTCTTCTGCGCCACAGTAGCGTTTGCGATCTCCGACGTCGCGTCGGCGCCTGGCACTACGCTCTGCGGCCATGAGCCTGCCTGCGGGGAGCACGCGGAGAGCGCCGAGCTTTTTGCGAGCCGCCTCTGCCGCCGTAGTGCCTGGGGGACGGTCTGAGTCTCTGGCACGTCGTTTTCGTCCTCCTCCTCGAGATCCTCCTCGTCGGCAATGTACGCCTGCCGCTGCAGCTCGTCGTAGAAGGACACGGCCCTCGCCCGGTCGAAAAAGCGTGCTCCTGCGTAGTAGCGCGATCGGTCCCGCGAAGCCGGCGCCCGGATCACGCCGCCAAGCGTCGCGCAAATCGCGCTCCCACTTGCCGTCTTCGGCGCCCCAAGCAACGAGGGCTTGCACCGCGGATGCACACGCCGGCTGCCTGGCCAAGCCTCGAGATCTGGTGACTGGGCCCGGAGCGGGGCGTATGTCCCTGTGGAAGTTGCGGAGGATATGCTCCTTGATCGGCAAGCGTCTCACAGCTCGCTAAATCGTCTTCAGCGCAGCGTACTGGAAGCCGAACTCAGGATCCAGTTGTGGAGACGCCAGGGGTGCGAACGTCACCGAGGGATAGCACGAATAATTATCAATTTGACACAAACGCTTCATGATGCCCGTGCGTAGTTTCCGCAGGTCCTCCTCCGCCGTGCCGCACTTGTGCGCTCCCTGCCCGAAGGTCGCCTGCGCCTGCGTTGCCAGCATCATGCGCCCCATGCGTCGCCGCTTGGGGCGCTCGACCAGCACGCCGCGCGCGGCGCCAGCAGCCCAGGCGCCAGCGGGGGCCGCCGCGGCCGCGGCCGTCGCGGCGGCCGCGGCGTCAGCGGCCGCGTCCGCAGCGAGCGCGCCAGCGGCCGCGGCGGCGGCACACGCGGCGGCCGCAGAGACGGCCTCTGCGACGGCGGCCGCCGCGCCCGCGGGCCAGCGGCCTCCGAGGAGCCGACGCGCCCGCGGCGCCACCAGCGCCCGCGGCGCCACCAGCGCCGCGGGCGCCACCAGCGCCCGCGACGCAGGCGGCGCCCGCGGCGTGGGGGGCGCCGGCGACGCGCGCGGCCTCCTGCAGCGGCCCGCGGCGGCGCGCCGCACGCGGCGGCGGGGTCGCCGCGGCACCACTGGCCGCCGCAACGTGGGGGCGCCAGCGGC